GCCATATTTAGTTGTAACAAATAATAAGACTAGGCAGAGAAAATACTCAGGTATATATTATAGGATTTGAATGTCTTTTCTCATCTTTTATATGTAAAGGGCAAACTATTAATTTTTCAATAAAAATACTTCTCAAAAATAAATCTTTCCTAAAACCACTAGATGAAACAAAAAAATATATAATCTTTGCTAAATTAATGCTTTCACGGTTTTAATTGAGAAAATGTGACTTTTTAATCAGATTGTCTTATGAATTAAAGATATCATTAAACTATAGACCACAGAAGACTTGAATAGCTCTACATCCAACTGTTAATCCCACCAAATGAGGGTAAAGACTATCATTCAAATTTTTAGACAAATTAAGCAAGCATTGGTGTTTGTCAGACAGTGCTGTCTCCTTAAATCAGGGGTTGAGACAACAGCCATAAACACAGGAGACGTGGGGTTTATATAGCTTTTTAAAAAACCTACAAGAATAGGGAATTTCCAAGGGTTGGGGGGATTTTTGTTTACCTAGGAACTTGGTTGTACATCTCAAAATTATTTGGCAGAACATTTTATCAGGGCAGAGGTCAAAGTGTCATCAGAGTATAGGGTGTGGAACATGTCAAATTCCAGAAAATGGGCCAAGACATGGTCAAACTCGAATTTTGCAGAAAACAGGAATGAACTATTTTGATCTTGTAATATGATGGCTTCTAATCTTAAGATGGTGTCAGGATGGCCCATCACCAACATCAAGAACCTGGAATAAATAATGACCTCTGAATTTAATGTCATTAGCAATATGATCCCATAGATTCAGTTCATAAATTTTAATCCTCTCTAAAAGATGCTCAAAATGGTTAGGAAAGAGGAGCTTGAGACAAGCAGCTGCTGCTGGTTAGCAGAAATGCTCTGCACCTGAGCCCTGCTGAGCTGATACAATGGCTTCTGTGAGAATGTTATGACTCAGTCTTGTCCTGACATTTACCAGACTCGGATAATTTCACTCATTCTTATATGCACCTTTCATCCTTCCTGATCAGGGATCATCATTTTCCCTGCTTGGACTGACTCAGATATGTGACAGCAGTCAACTCCTTAAAGGTTGTTGGATCCATATTCAGCCTGCTTTGCTTCATCCTGTTCTATAGAACTCTAGAGCAGGTTGAATTTCTTGTATAATTCAGATAAAATTTGAAAAATGTGATCTATTAATATGAGAGTTTAATGTTGTTTGTTCCTACAAACAATTCCATATTTCAGTTACTCATCAAATAAACTGTAATTATCAGCAAGAGAAAATGTAAAGAGGATACAAAGCAAACATGAAGGTGGGTTAAGTGACAGGTGCAGGCAGAGGGTTAAAACTGCCGGTTCCCACTGCCAAAAGACTGAGGAAATAAGCTGCTAAAAGAACACAGGATCTTCTCACTATGCAATGACATCCTGGTCAACCATGCTCAGGGAAGAAGAATGAGGGTTAAAGCCAGCTGGGTTCTATTCTCACCCTCCTGTGTCCTGGTTGGATCATCCCCAACTATTCATTCTCTTGTCTTGCATATGTAGAAGGGGACAAAATATATGAGCCCCTTATTTCACCTGATATGTCTGTTAGGCAATGCTGAAATCCAGTCAAAAAGCTGGGTGTGGATGAATGCAGGGTCTCTTAGGTGCATCAATGAGCCACAGTTTCCGTGTGAACTGAGATTCTTACTTATTTTGTAGGAGTGGGAAATTTATGCGAAATAAATAATTTACAATGTTTGCTTTGGACATCAGTGATTGATTTATAATGAGGCCATTACATAATAATGCAGAAACAAGTTTCTATAATATTAGTGTTTCTTCAGAGATGAAGCCATGCAAGATGTCTAATCTGGTACCTGGAAAGGTCCCTTTGCTCCTAATTATTTATATATATCATATATATAAATAATATATTATATATAGAGAGAGAGAGAGAGAGAAAGAG